TTTTTTTTTTTTAAAGACTCGAAAGGACTTGAAATTCAAAGTTTCAGACTTGTGACTTTACTCAGACTTCTACACCAGTGACTTGAGACTCGACTCTGACTTGCCTGACATTACTTGAGACTTGCAAAACAATGACTTGGTCCCACCTCTGATGGTCACTGTAAGATGGACACACACACACACACACACCAGTTCAACTTTCATATGCACAGCTCCACAGTCTCTCGACTGTGATTGGTCCAAATGCACCGCCTGTGCCCTCCCCTGCAGCTGAGCCAGGGACCCCCACAGTCACTTGCTTTGTCCAAATGAAATTTTAACACAAAAATAAGGCTTTTTCCTAATTACTGAACTACATGGACGTCATAGAAATTCTAGATTCTGATCTTGTGGACCAGTCTCTCTACCTCATATTGTCACAATATAATTTCAGAAGTTTGCAAATCTGTTTTATGTACACTTTACGCAGCATCCCAGTTTCTTGGGCTGTGGGCTTGTACGTTGAATATCTGTCTTTAGAGTTTCTCACAGAGTAACAGAAGCTGATGATGTGTTTTACTTACATGTGGCTGATTTTCACGCATATTAAACGTCTATTAACACATCTCCACTTCTTATTTGTCCAAATCCTTTTTGAGTCGTGCACGTCACAAACAGATCGTCTGTTTTCTTGACTTTGTTATGAACATGTTTCGCTCGTATTGCAGGACCAGAGTTTTGGTGCTCTGTCTCCTACTTTGAAATGGACGTTCAGGTGGGGGAGATGTTCAAGGTGCCTTCCAGCTGCCCGATAGTGACTGTGGATGGTTATGTCGACCCGTCAGGAGGTGATCGCTTCTGCCTCGGCCAGCTGAGTAACGTCCATCGCACAGATGCAAGTGAGAGAGCCAGGTGTGTTGACGCAGACACACAAACTGTGGAATGACTTTTCGAATATTTAGCAAAGAACATCACCCTTCAGTTTTATTTATAGAAATCACAACATCAGTTGCCTCGTGGCGCTTTCTATTGTAAGACCTTACAGTAATACAGAAAAACCAGAGGAAACACCAACAATCGCATGACCCTACATGGACACGTGCTTTAGCAACAGTGGGAAGGAAAAACTCCCTTTTAACAGGAAGAAACCTCCAGAACCAGGCTCAGGGAGGGGCGGGGCCATCTGCTGCGACCACATGATGGGAGAACGACAGGTAGATTAGAAAAGTGTTATAAGAACCAGTCCATTTACCAGTCCTTGGGACTGAGTTTTCCAGACTACTAAATATAACCCAGTTTGTTACCAAGTGCACCGATTTAGAGGGAAGCTACAGGGATGTCTGTACGATGCCGGGTTTTCTTAAATGAGGGGAGCTACAGGGATGTAGGAGTGGGCGAGTCCCCTCGGCCATTGGCTCCACCTGAACTCTGCACAGTACCCGTAGGATCAGAGATTCGGACTTTTAAACAGAAGCTGACCCTGACTTCCTGTTTTGGGGTGCTGCTTCCACAGATCCACACTTTTGGCCTCTGATGGTTAGTTAACCGCCCGTACTGATCTGGCGTCGGCTTCAGCCAACACT